CAACTGTGGGATTGTACTGATAACGAGAAGAATGTCTGGTGGTTCATTAGTAAACTGATGTGTGGAAACATGTTGGAATGAAGAGCATGAAAAGATTCATTCTATCCACCACAACAGAGAAGGTTTGAGGCCTTTGAGTGAAACTGCAAACTGGATCCGTTCTCAGTTTCTTTTCCTGTTTGACCGTCCTGTGGATAATTAAGCTGAAGCAAAGTGTGGGTTGGCGCTGGTGTTAGAGATAGAATAAGTGTTTTAGTGCCTTGCAAAAGCGCGCCCGAGTAGATGGGAGAGCTCGAGCAGCTTCACAGCGAGCGAGACTCACTTTAAATATTCCATGAAAGTGCTGCGGTTGCACAGTGTTGTTTGAACTGAGAGAATCCCTGAACAAAGTATTTAATTCATGCATTGACTTTTCCACTACAGTTAAAACATCACAGAGCTATTTCTTGGCTTGTGGATATTCAGCTCAGCAGCCTCTGTTCAGTCGATAATATTGCGCTGCCTGGTGTAGAGCCTCAGGTCCTGTCCACAGCGGTTTCAACTGAACAGATAATGTTGTGTATTGTCAGTGCTGCGGGTATTGATGGATAACATGGATTAATGGAGTGCAGTGAAAATATTACAAACCCCTCTATAAAAAACAGACAATGCAAATAAATGTTATCCTCTGCCAGACTTGGAATTAGTGTGTCATTAAAATTCAGGCTGGTGAAAGCTTCATGTGAATGATGCCCCCCGGCTGGTTCACGCCTCACACACCGCCACTTAACGCTGCTTTTCTCATGATTCTCGGGCGTCTTGCCACAGCTGATAATTTCAGTGTTTCACAGGCACCGTGAAAAATTTCCGCGCTCCACACCCGTACAAAGAAGAAAACATCACCTCAGTGTGCACCGAGCTACTTATTTTAAGGCGAGACTGGCAGAGTGTAATAAACCAACCGGCTTTTGTGCAGGCCTCTTAATGCGTGTTCCCATTCTCTCAGATTCAACACACAACAAATTCTCCTCTTACTTTGTTCAAATTAATTTTAGAGCTGGATTTTTTTTTTCATGCAGTGTAAAGCTGCACAAAAAAAAAGCTCCTGTTTGACTTCAGGCAAAAAGGATAATTGTGAAATTAACATTAGCCAGAGAAAAAGGGCAGACTGTGCATTTGAGAGCCTGTATTATGGCTTTTGGGTTTTTCCTTTAACTTTATTGTGTTGTAGCTTTTTGTGCATGTATAAAATCTGCAGAGCTGCAAGGTGGCTCAGTGGTTAGCACCATCGCCTTGCAGCAAGAAGGTCGCTGGTTGGGTGAGGACACCCGGGATCTTTCTGCGTGGAGTCTCCATGTTCTCCCCGTGCAGCGTGGGTTCTCTCCGGGTTCTCCAGCTTCCTCCCACAGTCCACAAACATGCTGAGGTTAATTGGTGATTGTAAATTGTCCGTAGGTGTGAATGTGAGTGTGCTTGGTTGTCTGTCTCTAAGTGTAGCCCTGTGATAGACTGGTTACCTGTCCAGGTGAACCTGCCTTCACCCTGAGTCAGCTGGGATAGACTCCAGCCCCCCATGACCCTGGTGAGGATTAAGGTGTAGAGATGATGGATGGATGGATGGATAAAGTCTGCAGCCTCACAAATGTCCAAGTCCATCCCAGAAGGAGCTTCAAATCCAGGCTTTTCTTCCGTTGCTTGTACACAATCACCTCTCTTCTACATTTCTCTGCTTTACATCTGAGGCTGCAGTAAATAACCACTGTCTGATAAGTTTAATATTACGCAGCACTTTTCACCATTCGCACTGCAGCATGCTCATTTCTGAACCAGCTTTTGTCCAGGCCTCTTCAAGCTTCTTCAGATTTTCACCAAAATGACACCATTCATCAGAGCCAGGAACTAAAAATAGATCAAGTCACTGGGTTTTCCACTTCCTGGTGGCTGTGCGGTTCAGTCGGGAAAATAAACCAAAAATTTAATATTTCATCAGAACTACTGTATTCTACATGTCTCATTTAGAAAATTGCCGTAATAAGCTCACTTTTCTTCCAAATTAATTTGACTGCTGGCGTTTTTTTCCCCCTCATCAGCTCAGGTTCATTAGCCGCTAACAGCCAATAGATGTGACATTTGCTGTGTAGCCAACAGCTACATGTCTCTGACAGGCGTCTACATTTATAAGCATGGATGCTCGCGCTCGGTCTTCAGGGATTGTGCGTGCAACAACATAATCTGAGCTCAAATATCCACCTGCTCGCTTCTCAGATCTGACATTTCACAGTGTTCTTTGCTGAACCGTGTGCTCGAAAGCTTCATAACAACACAAGTATAAGAGGATTTTGGATTAGATGTCTACAGTTCTGGTTGTTCTCCTCTCGACTCTCTTTCACTTTAGCTCCTGCTGCTTACGTAAAATCATGATTTTTCACCTGAATTGGCACTGTGAAGGCCAAATGTGTTGCCGTTTGTCTGCGTGCATCCTCACAGCCCTTCTTGCTCAGTCTGAGAGCACACGGCATGCTCTGCGTTCAAGCTGCAAACCAGTTCCCCCGCAAGCGCCGAACCCTCGAAGACTTTACCTGACGTCACCATCACGGCCGTTCAGCCATCAAACACTCCAGTGCTTTAATGAACTGCAGTGTTTTTAGGTAAAACAGAGGGGTGTTTCATAAAGCCAGATTACCAGTTGTGCAGGGCGTGTTTCAGCATTTCTCTATGAATACGTGCCAAGTTCTGGCAAATCAAATTTAGCAAAGATTTTTAAGCTATCTGCACAGTGTTCCACTCACCATGCATGCTTTCAGATAGTCTGTAATTAAAATAAAGATCATAGACTTCCATTAATGACTAAAACATTGCTGCATCAGATTGCACTAACTGGACTACAACATGCAGCCAAAGGTTTCTGTCTGCTTTGTTTATCGCAGCGCTTTTCATTGTTTGGGATTTTTGAACCATAATATATATTTTAAAATGCGCTGCCCTGTGGCCATGAATTCTGTCTTAATACAGCGGTTTACTTCACTGTCAATCAGTTTGTGTTTCCAGGTAACATAAGAAAAAACACTCTTAATTCGATGCTAACTTTTTTTTTTCCCCACCAGAGTAATCCTGCTTCAATCTGAGGCTCACTCAGGACAGAGTTTTCACAGTGGAGCCTGAGCCACCTTTATGAAACACCTCTCAGCTCTGAAAATCAGCATTTTTAAGAAGTCGCCATCATAAGGTAAATGACTCTATAGGAAAACTCCTTCCACGTATTTCTATAATGTGGAATTACACTCTCATCACTGTTACAGCGTCACAGTGCCGCGCATTGTGTGCTGTTCCCTTGAGCAAAGTCTGCAGACTTGCATACTTAGTGGAAAGTGTGCATAAAGGGATCAAAAACTCAACCAGAGAGCCCTCGAGCTCTCGCCGGTTTCACAGTGGAACAGCGCAAACCCCTCACAGACGTGCATTTGTCAAAGTCTGTGAGTGCGTGCAGGGGGGACGCTGGAACTGGGGTCTTGAGTGCAGCTTTCAGCCGGTGACCCCGCTCGCCCACGGTGTCAGGGCAATGCCTCACTCTGACTGAAACGTGTTTACACAAAGTCAACGCTGCAATGGGTTAGAAAGTGGAACAAAGAATAACAGCTAAAACGTCCTATCACAATGAACTCACTTGTAAATTCATGTGCACAATCAGAAGGCTTGGTAGCAACGTGCAAATGGAAATTATGCCAAAAATGTTTTGTGATAGAGAGGAGACGTGATATCGTGGCTGCAGAGGCTGCATACCACATGGGTGTGAATACCTTCAGACTGTGAGTCCCTGGTTTGATTCCCAGCCCCGCGGTGGAATTCTGTCATGTTCAAAAGCTGTGAAGTGTTTGAACAAAAATGTAACGGGAACAGAGCTAAATTATCAACACACAGCATTTCTGACCAACTCATACAACCAGGCCCTGCTCTGTGGGGGAACAGAAGCATGCAGCGCACCTTCACTTTAATATTTTTGCACCGAGAACTGCACAGGTATGCTGCGATGTGTCCGCCTTCAAAGCTGCATCTCTCTGCAGTCGACTGGTGTTTGCTTCTTGTCCAGATATTGCTAAAAGGAAATTCAAGTCTGGCAGCAGCACAGGCCTCCACAGCTGCAGACACCAAAAAACAGCTTTTTTTTCAAGCAGCAAAGTCCTTATAATGACTCCAGCCAGAGTTAGCCAGTTTGTCTCAGGTTTACAAGCAGCTCTCTCCTCACTTCAGCATCAACAAGTGATAGATGACGTGAATCGATATGCAGCTCATCCATACAGCTGGGTAAGGTGTTCGATTAGTGGCTCATGGTTTCAACACAGAGAATATTCCTGCGTTATTTGTTACGCTTGTAGAAAGTTTAGGCAAAATGTCAGCGAAAGACAACTGTTAACACAATCAACATAAAGCTGTGTGTGTTTGCACACGACTGAAACGACTGATCAGGATGCAAAAGCAGCTGTTGATGAATACAGTAAGGTTTTGATGGATCACGCTTAGGTGTCTGCGTGACTTCAGATGCCCCTGTTGTGTTCCAGAGCCGGACCTCCTTACATTCATTTGCATTAAAATTAAAAACAAAAACAGGGTCTGCCAAAGTAACAGAGCATGTCATGCATTACCCTGCGTGTGCTGGAACTGGGCCACAAATACCCCTGAGCTGTGTGCACTGCAACAAGGTAGGGGAAGAAAATGCAGGAGGGGGGACATTTCCTGCACACATGGGGCCAATGATCAGCAGCTACGCCCCCTTCACGCGCGCAGTAAATGGCGATGAAGACGTTTTTCACGGACGGTCTCGGTTTACTTGCGACGCGATTAATTTATTTTTCAGTGTTTTAACGAACTCACGGGGCCTTTACTGCCTTGGCCTCGCGCGCGCTCGCTCTCTCTCTCTCTCTCTCTCTCACACACACACACCATTGCAGCCCCCGCGTGCACGAGCGGTGCGCGCAGGGGTCGGGAGCGCGCGTGGAGGCGGTCCGGGGCTGCCTCGGTTTTTTTTTTTTTTTTTTTTTTTTTTTTGCTGTAATCGCTTCTCCGCCGCTGCTACCTCCAGTTAAATAGCAAGGACACGGGAGCGAGCAGACGGCCGTGCGAGGCGAGGATATTACTTTTTTTTCCGGTACCTTGAGGGATTACGACGCGGATTTTTTCTCTCCTCGTTTTTTTTTTTTTGTGCAGCATCGACGGCCAGCCGCCAGGTAAGCTCGACGCACGCGCTCGGCCGCCCCCTCGTCGATCCGCGAAAAGTAAGTAAATGTCCCGTGAAAAGTGTCGTTTTTTGAAGAAGGAGAAGGAGAAGAAGGAGGAGGTGGTGGTGGTGGAAAAGAGAGGCGTGGGGGAGGAGGAGGAGGTGGTGGTGGATGTGTGGGACGAGCCTCCCTTTGTGCCGAGCCAGGGTCACTGCTCTTCAACGGCACAATGTGGACACTCCACAAACGGCCAGGATCCGCTCGGTTTTTCCTCCCTCCTCCTCCTCCACCTCCTCCTCCGCCGCCGCCGCCGCCGCTCCTCCGCTGGCCCTGCCGTTGACCGTCCTCCATCAGCCCCGCCGTCGGACAGAAACGCCTTCTTCTCTGCGTATTTCCATTGAGTTTAAAACACCGAGGCCTGTCTCTCTTTTTTTTAAATCCCCCCTCGGCGGTAACGCACCCTACTTTCCTCCTCCTCCTCCTCCTCCTCCTCCTCCTCCCCCTCCCGGCCTGGTAACGTTAGCTCGCTCCCAATAATGTTTACGGTCGCTTTTGTCGGACTCGACCCCTATTGTTGTGCTTCATCCCCCCGCACACGGTGACCTATCAGGCGGGCAGCTCGCCGAGTGTCGCCTCATAACATTATTATTATTTTTTTAACTTGCCCCCGGTGGGTATTTATCCATCTATCGGGGCTGTAACGTCCCCGCATCGACCCAACGGCTGTCGAACCGTTTCAAGCCGTCCATGTCCCCAACAAGAACCGGAAAAACCCCCCCACCCCCCCCCCCCCCCCGCCACTTGGCTCGGTCGTAGCTGACTGACCAGACTCCTTGTTTTTTATTTTATTTCTTTTCTTTCTTTGCTCTCACGTTTCCTGGAGCCCTGTCTTTGTCGTCTGTGGCTTTAATTAATTTCGCTCGTCTGCACTCATGGCCTCATCACGTCCAAGTGTCTCCTCTCATCTGCCATTGATGGGCTTTTTTTTTTTTTTTGTCTTACTTGTTGACAAAAAAAGGCATTTTATCTATTAAAGTGCCATATTAGCCCATATGTGTGTCTGTACTTTGTCTGGGAAATCTAGGCCAGTTAGGCCACTGGTATAAATTCTGCCTAATGACTGCAATATACTGCATAACCCCCAGTAGATCCTTACATGAATGCTTCATTATATTCTGTTTAACAGGGGCCCTATACATGTGTAACGCTTTAACAGATGTCTTTTCATCTGCCCAATTTTCATCCAGCTTTAGATCAATTAGATTAAACTCATCTTCCCTCAAATCCACCCGACAAACAATTTTGTGCAAACTTGCTCACGTGTTTCCGTTAACTCGACGCCTCTCTTGTTTTCTTATTTTTCTCGCAGGGCCCACGATGTCCAGCGAAGTGCAGAGACCGGACGACAGCCCCAGCACGAGCGGGGGAAGCTCGGACATTGAACAAAGGGAATCGGTACCACCTGAGCAGGAGCGAGAGCAAGCACAGCCCAAAAAGAAGGAGACCAAGATCTCGAGTAAAACCGCTGCTAAACTTTCAACTAGTGCCAAGAGGTAAGGAGAAAAATAAATAGGAATGTGGCTTTGGAGAGCAGCAGCAGCAGCAGCATTTACACAGGAGTTGTTTGTTAAACTGAAGGCCTCTCCCCTCGTGCCCCGGGGGTGTGAAGTTTTATAAAAAGACTGCAGTCCCACAGGCATTGTCATTTCAAACATCCACGCTATTCAGTGTGACACCAAACCCACAGAAAGGAGGTAACACTCGCAGCTCGGCACTGAAGTGTCACCGCTGTCATTTGGAAGAGAGATATTCCCGTTCCGGCGTGTTTGTTTGAATGAATGCGCCTCGTGCTCCGCGGCAGCACCTCCGCCAGCACTTACCTCCACCAGTCTTATTCCCAAAAAAGACAGGCGATGAGAGAATTATGCAACCGGTTGAGCAAATAGTTGGCCGAGGCCACTGAGTCTTTTTATAACGGTGACTGATGTTATGAACATCTCCCTTTTGTGTGTGTCTGCGCCTCGCTTGAAAGCAGCCTCCATGAAGGACCTCAGCAGTGAGAGCTGGACACGTTTTAATGCTCTATTAAGCTCGTGTTCGTTTAGCATCAGCATTTGCACTCAGTCGCCCCTTACTGTTTACATGCAAATGTTTTTGTGATTATTTCCTGCAAATCATCAAGCCTCTCGGATTTATGTGCATGCTTGATTTTGCTTTTTGAGCAACAGAATAGAGAGGCACTTCTGTTCAGGCTGTAATCATAAACAAATGTAGAAGCCCGTCGATTGGGAGAAAATATCTAATTGCATTTATTCTGGCTTCGTTTTTAAAAAAAATCCTGCTGCAGTTGATTATTCGCTGTGCAATACATTTACATTGTGTGTTGGAGAATTTACCACGTGAGATCAAAGGTGTGACTTTCACACAAGGAGGATGGCATGAATTTGTAAATGAGTCCTGGAACAACAAACATCCTAATTTGCAGCCTTTGCTAATTATATTTCAAATGTAAAATCAATTAGCTGTTGGGCCCTAAACCAAACTTGTTATGAACACATTCTTCAGTTACACATTAAGTTGGGATTAAAAGCAGCACGTAGCTCCTCTCAGGTGTGAAACACTGAGTAGATGTACTGCAGACACCCATCCGCCCAACATGAAGTTCACCAAGAAAATCTTTCTTTTTCAGGATTCAGAAAGAGCTTGCAGAAATAACACTAGACCCACCTCCGAACTGCAGGTAAGGAGCTGCTACGTGTTCAGAGCATATCTGTAATGACTCATCAGCCTGTATGTACAGATGCTGGCGCTGTAATGAATATAGACGGCGGGGATGTGTTCCCCTCCCAGCTTCTTGTCTCTGAAAACAGAAAGGCCACGCTGTAATGCACTCGCCTTTGTCTTTGCTCCCATAATGCTGTTGTTTGTGTTTTTTGTTTGCGACGGTAATCTCAGGTGAATTAGAGTGACTGTCGCCCATCCTGGCATTGTTGTTGCTGCATAATTCACACTGCAGACCCCCCGTTGAAAGCGCAGCCTTTTAGATGACAGTATTATGGTGCCACTGAAATGGTGGAAAGCGAGTGGCAGTGTGACTTTAAAACCTGTTTCGATTCTCGTGTGGTTCCCCCCTCGCCGTGCTGGGGATTTACCACAGACAATGGTTATTGTGTGCAACTGCCGCGGCTCTGAGCCCTTTGAGGAAGAGATATGGTCGCAGGCGAGCGGCAGGCCACATGTGCATCAGTCTCTGTGGACACGACAAAAGGCATACCTTTGGGTTGCGGCTTAGGAGCTGGCGTTTATTAAGCCAAATAACACAGAGCGATGCTGTCATTGATTGTGGCTCTGTTTATTACTGCACAATAATTACTCCGTGTATCAGCACTCCGCCGCAAATTAAGAAAGAAAATGGAAGCCGGCCTTTGTTGAGGACACTTGTGGGAGACGCTGATGTTTTCTGACCGTTCTGGACGGTCGTTCGTAGGCACCTGCTTAAAATGATTAAGGAAAACCGCTTTGTATGACTCATCTGGCGATTTGAAATTACTACACCCTAGACAGCCTTGTTTATTGCATGAATTAATCACCCCTGCTGGGTCTCATCAGAACCCCGCCATCATTAACGATAAACATTGAGCTAACCTTTTCATTTCAGCTCACATCCCAGTTTTGTTATTGTACCGCAGGCTAAAAGAGATGTTGTTTTCCTCGAGGACCCTAATCTATTTCAACCCCCCCTCCCCTAAAAAACTAGGTTGGCTCACATGAAGGATTTAGCTCGAGGACACAAGTAAGTCATTTGAAAGTAAAATAATCGCTGGCGGAAATTTCACAGTCATCGTCTTAGTGGGGGAACTAGTTGCCTGGGAAACAATTAAGCTTCTTCAAGATAATCCTTTTCTGTGTGTGTTCCCTTTCTTTACTCTAATATGATACCGAAATCTAATAATGTGTTTTCTGTGATGCACTCAAATAGATTAGCCCTCTGTTAACAATGACAGGGGGGTCAGATGCCGCAAAGCCCAGATTTCTCATGCAGGCGATCGCAGCCCCATTTACATTCTCGCATGACTGAGTGCACACCGCAGTGCCAGTGTCGTCATTTGTATGCCGCACGCTCGCTGCTCCTGGCCAGGTTAGCCTGAAAGGTTATTCATTTCATTCCCCGCTACAAATGGAGTCACAGACTGTTGGCCCCCTTCAGGAGGCAGACACAGAGTTGTGTTTAAGAGATTCACTTTGGTACGCTCAACAAATGTGGCGCTCGGGGCCGGCTGATGCATGTCGTCTCATCGGTCTCTGGGCTGAGCAGCACCTCTGACTCTGTCGACACTTTGTCCTGGCCAGAGAGAATTCACCTTCTTCGTCTCGTAGTTTAAATCTGCAGTCTCCTCTCCATCACTCGCTCTCTCCTCACCTTCAGGGATCACACAGTTTTCCCGTCTGCGAAATGGAGAGCCCGGCTTTCAGCGTGGACGTGTGCTACGAGTCATAATTTACCGTTTAACACCTTACAAGTGTTTAGGATCTAATTTAGTGGAACATCTGTGGCAGAAGGTGCCCACTTGATCAGTGTAATAAAACACCTACGCCCTTTCTTCAAGCATCCCGTTTAAGGTTACCGTGATAACCCTCAGCTGCATTTAATATCACAATCTGTTGTTTCAATAATCCGTCTGTCTCGATAAATCACACGCTGACTAATGTCTACTGGCTTCCTGGGACTACGAAGCGTCTGCAATAATAGGGCTTAAGTTGTTTAAAAAAAATCAATTTTTATGCGACGTGAACAAAGCTGTCATACTTTTAGTGCTATGTCACTACTTGGAAATCACGAGCAAGTATTTAAATGTGTCTCCGAGCTTTATCTCACTCTCGGCTTTGTGACAGTCTGCTCGTCACCTTGGCAGTTGTCATGCATCAGACGAACAGGAACACGCTGAAGCCCAAGAGGATTTGACATGGCAATTATTCTCACTGTCATACACTTCAAGTATATTGTACTGGCAGCTTGTGCTTTTACACTTACTGAAGCATATGAAGCGGCTTTTGAAATGAATAGTGTTTTCTCTCTCCAGCAAGATGCACAAATATTTCAGTGATCTTACCGGGGATGAAGTTTGATTAGATAGCCTCAAAGGGAAACACGACAGACTTATCAAACTCTCTGGTTTTTCAAAGCCACAAAGATTCAGATTTATCTGAAAGCGTCGTACGTCTCCACAGACCGTTAAGCTGCTGATCTACGGAGGGTGTTTAAGGTTTAAATAAGCTGTTGGTGGTTGAATTGACAAAACTAGTTAGCTCACCTCAGTGGGTTTTTTTAACCTCACTTTTAATTCTTTTTAGAGCTACTAAGCATAATTATTTCCAATTTTATTTAGTTTGCAGTCTATTTTGCTGTAATTGGATTGTCTGGTCTATCAAATGTCAGGAGAAATGAGTCTCCATTTCCCTGGTGATGGGTTTTAAAATGCGTGACCAACAGGCTAAAGCCCAAAGATATTCATTTCAAATTGGTGAAAACACAGAAAGAATGAGGATCCTCACAGTCGAAGGACCTGGAACCAATAAACATTTGGCCCTTTTGCCGTAATATATGACCTAAAAAACAATGACTAAAGTATTATCATGGGTTTGAGCTGAGTTAGTTTCAACATAATGCCTGTCCGCGACCACAGAACAACGTGGAATCGTTCTGCTTGATCTGCTGAATCACATCCCAGCTCATCCTCCTCCTCCTCTGCTCACTTTGATCTGTTCCTGCCATATAAAACACTCCTTTCTGCCTCCCACTTTATGTTTCCGTACCTATCTCTTCTATCTTTGTCATTAGCGTTAAATCACAGGGTTTCTTTTGGCTTCATTTAGCATTGCACAGTTGTCATTGTTCCTTCCGTGTGATGTTGATTTGCGACGTTTCAAGCAGAAATCCCAGCAGAGACACTCTGTTAGAGCAGCAGCTACTGGGGATGCAGCGTACAGGTCTGGACCACTGCGCTGCTTCATCTCCTCTCACAAACAGACAAACAGATACTCAAATTACAGCTCCAAAACAGAGTGATAGCAGAACAATGCTCAGCTGCCTCCAACATAATCGTAAATGTCAGGTTCTTGTGTCAGCCCGTCCAGATTTGACGACGAAAGGGCGCTTTTTTTTTTTCTAAAGGCTGCTTTTGTTCAGTGAGAAACCGCAGCAAAATCATCCTTTAGCTGAAGAGGTAGACATACCAATTTCTCCTCCTCAGGCAACTCAAACAGATTAAATGCAGCGCAGCCGCAACCCTATGGAGCACTTTGAGTAACAAGTTCAGCGCCCTGCTCTGGCAGGTTGCTGCTAATCATCCTGGGAGATGTAAGAAACCATCACCTGAAGTAGGAGTAGATAAGGCCGAGGGAGAGTTGATGCAGCTAAAAAGTCATTTGCAAAACATAATCACAGAATGGCTCCCCAGGTGGTTTGAGCATTACAAACTGAGAGCACTTTAACAGCGTGTACGTACACTCTGCAATATATTTATGTAATCTGCTTTAATGATCGCAAAGCCGTGCCAGCTTCAGTAACGTTAGCACGAAATGTTTTTGTTGTTTTTGAGACAGTGATCCCCTCCTTTCAAGCAAAAGTAGACAAAACTAGGTTTCTGAATTCAGCCTGGCTAACTTTGATTACAGCTGTGGCTAGCTAGCTAAGCTAATGCTAGCTGTGTGAGTTGGTTGAGATCGCTGACTGTGGCCGCCTTTCTAGTGTCGTCAGCTCTTTAAAACAAGAACCTTGTAAAAATGACTTAAATATGCTCTTCATAGCTACTGATGTTACATCGTACAGGACTGAAGCTAAATCCTGCTAAGTTTGTGATCCAAAAAACTATTTTTGAAACAACAAAAACAGTTTTGTTCTTATATTGAAATGTAAAGTTAGTTAGCTTAGCATTTATCTGGCATTTTGTAGCAGGAAATGAGTTCGCTAGCAGATGATGCAAGAGCAGGTAACCGCATGGAGTCCTCACAGTTTTGCTCTTGTATTTCTGGTTTTAAAGAAACTAAAAAACTTGACACCACCCTTCAAACTCTTTATTTTTAGATTACTGGTCTTACAGGAATTTAATGCTCTCAGGTTCCTGCTAGTCAGGAACAAAGTTGAAGAATTGTTGTAGTTGTGTTTAAAGCTGTTCTGCACTTTCCTGCATTTATGGATTTCATGCTTGATTTTACATGTTTATGGATTTTAGACAGTTTGTTATTTCACAGTTATATTTAGATCAAAAATACACTTGTTTGACCAGATATCGTGTGTCCCACTTTCCACCGTTCTGCTTTACAACATGCAGATGTTAGACGTGGCTACCTGTGGGCCAAACACCTCAGATGTAACACTTACTGGCTTTGTACATTAATGATATATTATTATTTATTTTTCATGTGTTTCTGGTGCCAACGAGCAAGGATAGCGATCGTGGAGCAAATAAACAGTAGACAAAAAGAACAATTTTAGAAAGAGTCAGCAGATTAATCGATGCTGCAGATCATCCTTGTCTGCAGGCCCCGCTGACCGTTTGTTTGCTGCCTGATCGGAGCGTCAGCTGACTGCCTCGCACGTCGTTCTCTCTTTTGTGCGGCTGTGTAATACAGCTGTATTACATGGCTGACCTTTGGAACAAATACTCTTCTTTGAATTTTCCTGTTGTCATGTAATGCCCTCATGATGCCCTAAGCAGAGCTGTCACTGGCTGATGCTAT